AAATAGCAATTGAAAAATAGGGAAAGAATAAATAGCTTCATTAAGAAAGAAAAGTCTGGAGTAGATTGACATCTTTGTTGAAGTAACATAATTACGGTGCAAACAACAGAAGGAAAAACAGCTTTCTTGTTTAAACACTTGAAGACACAGAAGGGGCCATATTTTTGAGCCTTAAGCCAATGATCATCTCTCAAAGTACCAAGTGCAGGATCCACGCCAGCATTCACATGAACTCCAGACCGAAAAGGCTTTCAGGGCTAGGCTCTCCACCTCAGCCCTGGCTTGAATTTTACTGGCTGTAGTAGAAGCTTTTATTGTTAACAAACCAAAAACACTATTTCCACTGGAGAGGATTTTAAAAGCCCTCCTAGGAGAACCAGCTGGAAAGCTGTAATGTCTAAAGCTTCTGATGAAGGCTTCACATGCGCTTTAGATATTTTATCTTCAGATAATGTCTACTCCTTTTCTTATTTAAATAATTTCTTAAGAAAGTATCTACCCACTAAATGAAAATGTGTGGCTTACTTCATCAGAGCTTGGCACATCATCTGAGTCAGTCAATATTTTAGGAGAGGTAACACTTTTTAGCCATTTTGAAAGGCAGAAGAGTGAACATGGGTCATGGATTTGTAGTCCTTAGGACACAGTCAGGCAAGCTTCTGAAAAAATCAAATCTAGCTCTTTATGAGAACTGATCTGGGTTTCTAATTGATCCCTCTAGCAAAGAGGCTCAAGAGATATGTCTGATGCTAAAGTGATGCTACTCTTAATTATATACCAAGAAATAAATGAGATCTGTTTCAAGTGTGTGCTATAATTAGCACAAGCTATTAGCCTCCAGCAAAAAATATCATACCATCCACTGGTCTCAAGAAGGAAATGCCTAACTGTAGCTAAATATCAATGTTGTCATAAATAAAAGAGCCATTTGAACTGAATCTGCTGCTAAGTATATATCCATCTCTCTATGAACATAGAAAACAGAAATAGTAGCTGGGAACTACAACCTTCTCACAACACACTTTTCCATTTAAGAAAAAATGAAGTGAGGGGGTGGTAGAGGAGAAGGGGAGAAGTTAAAAAAGGAACAGTATCTAAAGTTTTCAATAAGTTTTTGTTTATCTTGCAAGATACCAGGCTTAAGTAAAGCTTAATTTTCTCTGAACACTCCATGAAATCACCTCTGCTTTTTTCCAAATTCTTTATCTTTTAATCCTCTCACCTCGTTTACACTAATGATAATTCACTTATCTCCTAAGAGCCTTATTGCTAACAAGATACAAGACAATTCTGTTTGGCCTGTCTGGATTGTAGCATATATTTGATTCACTTTTTGACCACGTCTCATCTATTTAAGTCATATTTTGCTGCCTCTTAGTTATTTAAAAAAAATATTCAAACCATTGGCACTTAAGAGTAAATAAACAGCATCTTCACACATAATTTACTGTGCTTGACACATAGATGGTCATCTCTGTTTCTCATTTGCAGCACAGAGAGTAGGTAGCTGCAAAGCAGAAATAGATCAAATTCAGAGAGTTCTTAGGAAATGCATTAAAAGTTCTCTTTGTTCCTTGAGGCTATATTAAATAAAATGTGCATGTTTCACTTAATGCTGTTACTTTGTTGCGTAGTAAAGTTTGTACTACTGCTCTCTCTGTAGGGTTTGCTTTACAAATATAAATATATCAGATTTAACAGGAAAAATATTTTCTCTATATATGTCATTATAATCCCTGAACTATTTCAGTAAATTTTAAATTATATTTCTATTATCTGTGTTCTGAAACAACAGTTAGTCAATATGAAATACACATTGATACTCTGATACTGCAGCCAGACTTACAAAGCCCTTCAGTCTGGTAAATAATCTTGAACTTTTAAAGGGAGTCAAAAAGCAAAACTTAGGCAAGCTTTGAAACAGCAATAACTCCCCCTTCAGGGAAAAAAACAAACAGCCAAACTCCCCTCAATATACAAAAACAGAGTACACAAACAAAACCAAACAAAAATCCACATACACAAAACCAACAAACATAAAAAAACAACCACAGAACACAAAACAGGAAGCAAAACTAATGAGAAATAACATCAGAATGAGAACACACAGCAGGTAGTGAAACTGGAGATGAACCCACCTCCTGCAAAATTACTTTCAAGGTGCTAATTACTGTCCTTGCTGGACAGTAAATGGAATTAAAAAAATTTAAATGCCTCTCAGTTGCCCCATCTCTGGGTCAGGCAAAGGGTGTTGTCCTTGCTGATCAGAAGAATCACTCCATGATGCTATTCAAACATACCTCCAGAATATTGTGATACTAAGGGAACAAGGAAAGGCAGACATAAAGGAAGAAGCCTCTTACCATAGAATCACAAAATAGTTTCAGTTGGAAGGGACTTTAAAGATCATCCAGTTCTGCCCCCTGCCATGGGTAAGGAACCTTCCTCTGCACAAGGCTGGTCCAAGCTCCATTCAGCCTGACTTTGAACACTATCACAGACAGGGAGTCCACAACTTCTCAGGGGTACTTCTCTCACCATCCTTATAGAGAAGAATTGGTCTTATCTATAAGACAGTATGTATTTTTACTCCTTTGTAATTACAACAACAGTTTGAAAACAACTGATTCTCAGCTGGCATTTAGCATGATGTTTTTCCCTGGAATTAGTGGAAACACTATTTTATTTTCACTGATAAGTAATAACCTTGTTATCTGTAGCTAAACAACATTAGATTAACAAGAACAAATATCCTTGTGTTAAATAAACAGTACATCGTGTAGTACATTGATAATAACATGTTGTTTTATAAATAAACACTAAATGCACTTTATGCAGTGCGTTTCTGGTATTTATACAGGCCACACCTCTCTTGTCAAATATTTGTGCAGTTGCAGTATACAAAGGAATTAAGGTTGCATAATTACAGCTGGCATTTTGTTTCACTAGTCAATACAGAACAAATAAGTTCACAACCATCTTTGCGTAATTATTATTTTCCCTCTTGAAATGGTAGGAATTTGAATTTCTTATCCACAGTACAAAGTAACCCAACTGTTGATAAATTAAATATTAATTAAGTTTCTCTCTACAACTGTAAATTGCACTTCAATGAAGAGAATGCCTTGCATCCTGAATCAAAATTAATGATGTAAATGCACTGATTGATTCTCCTTAGAACGATGAAAAATACATTACTAACAAATGAGTTTTTTTAAGTTATCCACAGTTCTATATTTGTGAGCTATAAAGAAAAGAGAGGAAGGGAAAGAAAAGGAAATTTCCCTATTCACAGCACACATTGAAGAATTATATGGTTTCAGTAGACTGCACACTTAGGCAGTTAGTACTGTCCAGCAGATATGGATTCTTTCTTCCCATCTAAGTAAAACTTACTTTTGTTAAGCATGTATTAATGAAAAGCTTTAAGCTTCAGCTTTCAAAACGTGACTGCTACTTTTGAGTATTTCCTCTTTCAGAGAACATGTTAGAGTACAACTGCCTTCGCTTCTGTTCTTTATAAAAGTGGGGGTGATGACAGCAATTTTGTATTTGTATTCTCACAAACAATTAAGATTCTATACCAAAAGTTACAAACATGCTGCTTGAGGGGCTTTTCAGAATACTTTGGCAAATACTCTCAGAAGAAAGTTGCTGTTCCTCACTTGTATACTGCTGAAACCTGTTGTTAAGGATGTGTTTCTTCAGCTAGTTTAAGAAGGCCAAATTACATAAAGCAAAGTCTGCAGGCGGTCTTCATTGGCCTAGTAGGAATGATTACCACCTCTCCCAGATAGGCAGAGTGCCTCTCTTGGGCTCCTCAGGAGATTTCATTTCAAATCAAGAAAGAACAAGTTCTCTGAGTGCACAAGGTCAGCTATGTGCAGACTGACCCGGGGCAGTGTCCTCTGAGCTTGTCACACCACAATGCCAAATTCTCTTCATCAGCAGTCTCATCCTGATGTGTGCTCTGTCTCAGAGGCTGTGGCAGGAGATCCCCTACAGTGATATGTCTGCCTCTTCTGATTTCCAGCTGCAGTGGCAAAGGCCCTGGTTTAAGCTCTACTGATGATCAAGTCCTGAGCTGTGCCCCGGCTGTAAAACTGCTTCCCAGTTTTACTGCAGGCATAACACAACAAGATTATGGCCTATCCACTTCAGCTTCAAGACGAAGACCAAAGCTTGTCAAAAACTGTCAGTTCTCTGCCTTGCTATGTCCTGCAGTAGTCAAGGGTAGGCAGCACATTCCCATCAGTACTGCTGAGAGAGCTGCAGGGCTGCAGCACACAGACCAGTTTGCTTTATGAAATGCCAGCAGGAGAAATGTGTTGGACAGCATACTGATAACTGAACTAGGAAACCTGACAAAAATAACTGCCCATATTCTATCAGAATCACAGAATCACTTATGTTGGAAAATACCTTTAAAATCATTGGGTCCAACTGCATTGAGGAAAAATATAAATTTCACAATTTTCTGAAGTCCTTTACTAATTTTAATTCATCACCTTTTAGATCAAAGTCCTTGTGAGGACATATTGAAATGCAAGACTTAACCTGTTCCATGTGCTCAGTCCTGGTAATATAAAAGCTGTGGCTTAATGCAAAGCACAGGAAATGTAAGTTTGAATCAGATTAACATGTAGACCCTGGGAGCGTCTGCCAAGAGAAACTTTGGAATTAATATAATCAGAGAGCAAATAGCAGCGGAATAAATTCTGGAGATCCCCTCAGTCCAATTCTCTGATATTTCTTTTTCCTCTGCCCGCTAAGAAAAGTACCCTCATTCTTGTAAGCTTTCAGCTGACACAACAGTCTAAAAGATTACAATACTCTTCAACGACCTAGTGTTTTTCTTATTATAGGGACTGTTCACTCATTTCTCCGTGCACTCAAGCATCTTCTGCTATTCAGCTGTCCAGACACTGTGAAGCTCTGTTTTTGCATGAACAGGGACACCGGGTTTGGTGTGGGTTTTGCCTGACACAGCAGCTCGACAGCTCCTCGGGAACAGTTTTCTACCTCGCTTACGGCCCTCTGCAGGGCTGCGGCCTCCCGCAAAAAGGACGCCGACCTCGAGGGCCGTACGACGCCGTCCCTGCTCCTGCTTGCACACCATTCCCGGGAAGCTCCGGGTGACTTCTCCTGTGTTTCCCGGGCACAAACTGCGCCCCGGCTCTGGCTGACGGACGCGCAGCACTTTCTGCTCGCTCTCTCCATCCGAAACCCCCGGCTCCTCCCGGGCCCGGGGCGGCTCCCACGGCGAGGAACGCTCCGCTCCGCTCCATCCCGTCGCTCCCTCGCCTTTCCGCCCGGCTCCGCCTTTCCCGTCCGCGCTGCCATGGCCGGGCCGGCGCCGCCGGTCACGCAGCAGGTCGGGCGGGCGCGGGGCTGCGGGCGGCGGCCGGAGCTGCAGCGGCTGCGGGAGGCTGCCCGCTGCCCCGTGCTGGACGCGGACGGCAGGAGCGTCCCCTTCCAGGCCCTGTTCGCGGAGCAGAAAGCGATCGTGCTGTTCGTGCGGGTGAGGAGGGGCCGGCGCGGGGCCCTGCGCGGCTCCTGGCGGGGCTGTGCGGGGCTTAGCACGGGCTGGGCTGGAGCCGAGGGGAAGAAGCGCAGAGGAGAGCGGTGCTGCTCCTGAGACCCCCTGTTGTCTGGGAAAGTGAGACACGATTTACCAGAAAGAAAATACTTCTTCAGCCGGGTCTTTAGAGAAACAAGTATCGTGTTCCTTGATTTCTCAGCTGTCGAGCCAGCTATCACATTCCTAAAATATCTAGAAGTAAGGGTATTTGCTATTTGCAAGGCTGCAGGTCCAGTGTCCTTGTTCAGGCTTGAGTTAAACCAGGATTTTGGCTAGTCCAAATTTGGTGCCTGGAATCTTTACCATTCCTTGTTCCTGATCACCTTCAAAGTGGCGTGTGCCCAAAGTCTGCTGCTTCATTTCTATGCAGTTATATCTGTTTCTGACACATTCAATTGGGTACATTGCAGAACTTTTTGTGTTACACCTGTAAGGAGTATGTAGAAGATCTGGCAAAAGTCCCCAAGGCATTTTTACAAGTAAGTACTCTGCTCTTTATGTGTTTGTGGCTGCAATTAAGCAGATCTGTTAAGTCCAGCTACACGCTTATGTAAAGCTTCGAGAAAAGAAAAAAAAAAAAAAAAAAAAAAAAAGGCTCAGAAGAAGCGCTTTCAGTGTTTGCTACAGTAGCAATAATGAATCTGCCTAGGAGGCACAGGAAAGGATTTATGGCACTCTGTTGCAACAGCGTTATTTCTCTCTGCCCTATTAGCTTGGTGCTCTTTTTACTGTTGTGCTCAGGACAGTCAGACAACATCTGACAGGCATTTTTTTCAGTATTAGTAGTGCCCTGGACAGCTGTCTTCTGACTGGTAACTACTGCCCTTTCCATTATGCTAGTAGGGCCGACTGATGTGCACGGAACAAGAGCAGAAAATTGATCTGGATTAAAAATAGTATTTTTTTGTATGGTGATTTGTAAACTGCATTAGTAGTGTGTCCTGCTCTCCAGGACAGCTGTACAAACAGGAATGACAGTGACAGAAAAGAGAAGTAGAGTGGGCAGGGGTTGCTATCAACATGTGGTTTTTTTGGGTGGTAGGAGACGCCAGAGAAGACAATGATCTCCTGCTAAATGTGGAGGGTCAATCTGTCTCTTTTAGACTGCTGATTGAAATTCTGCCACACTTTATTCCAAACAGCAGTGTAGCCAATGACAGAGACTCAGGTCATTGCTGGTGGCAACTCCACCTAAGTCCAACTGAGATGGATTAGGAATTTGAGGACAAAAAGGGGCAATTTCTTTTTTCAGCTTCCCTTTTCAGGAGAGATATTTCTAAACTGTTTGATCAGTGTTACTCAAAAGGACATTGTCTTAATTTGGCTTCTCAAATAAATGTGTCCAGAGAGTAAAAAATGTCTACGCTTTTCTTATTGCAAATATTCTGGTTTTAGGAGGGCTTCTTTTCATAACTAGCAAAATTATTTTATGTGGGAAATTATTCTATATGGGGAAGGTGAATATATAATAAAACAACCGTATATTTATGAACTGTTTTTAGTGATTTAAATGAATTTCAATTTTGGGCTTTGTTTTACACCTGCAAAAAACACCAGTGCATATAAATGCAAGTTATAGCTATCAATGGGTCCATATATGTAAATCCCAAATGTTTGGGCCACAATCATTTGTGTGCTTCTTCTTTAGATGTAGGTGCAACTGAGTGGAAATTTTGAGTTTCCAAAATCATACCATGTTGCAATTAATTGAAAAGACAATCCTACCCATGCTACAGGGAACTCAAAGTTTATACAACTGTAATTTAAAAGTTATCTTTAAAAATAATTTTTCACTTAAATAATTAATTTAGCTGCTAACTGTGGGTGGTATACAAAAGAACAGTCTCCAAACATGGAAGTTATGTTGACATCAAATAATTTTAAGTCAGTGCACTGTAATCACTAACTTGGGACACCAGATTCTGCTAATGTTTTGAAGGTATGTAGGAACACCCAGTTCCTCTTTACATCTTCCATACCCATGTTCTGTTCTAGGAATCAAATGTGAGGCTTATAGTTATTGGACAGTCATCATATCATCACATCAAGGTAAATAAAGTAGTTATTAAATACAGTGTGTCCTCTGTTACATCTTAATGGTCTATATTGAGGGATTTGGTTTGCATGTAAAGGTGATCTTTTGCAACTGCAATAAAAAAGGATAGTATTCATGAGGCAATCTAATAGTAATACACAACTAAAGCAAATAATTAACATTTGCAGTTTAAAAACCACCAGGGGTTGCTAAGGAAACATCTTTTCTTGATTTCACTGGAAGCTTTGTTTTAATAGAAGCTTTGAGGCTAAAAATTTTCCACTTTAACATAACTAACAAATACACAATTTTCAAATAAGAGGGAGGAGCATGGAGCTGTCAGGGTGTCAGTATTTTTGCTGTTGTCAGTAGACCCTAACTAGTTACTGCCTTAACCTTACAAATATGACTTTAGTTTTCTGTGTCTGTCTGTGTCTATGCCTATATTTTGCAGCCCTTTTGCAGTTTAACTGGGTATACACATGAAATGTATGTAGATCCACCAAGGGAAATTTATAAAATACTTGGGATGAAAAGAGGTGAAGGTAACAAAGCATCAGGTAAGCATAATTTTCTTACCTTATTTAGACTTTCACAAACAAAACAAAAATGCTCTGATAAAATGGTCTGATCGCAAAGTAGCGAAGGTGAATTGCCCACTGGACTGTCTCTCGTAGGCTATATTTTGTGAAAACGCTGGTAATCAGGAATCTATAAAGTATTCATAGCAGCTGTTAATTGTTGTTGTTCTAATATACTTTCATATTTCTAGATAACAAGTGTATTGTGGTTTTGTTTAGTTCGGAGCCCTCATGTGAAATCAAACACTTTTCTGGGAAGTATTAGGAGTATATGGAGAGCAATGACTGGCCCAGCTTTTGATTTTCAAGGAGACCCTGCTCAGCAGGGAGGAGCTTTGATTATAGGCCCAGGTGAGCTGCTTTGTTTTGTGTGAAAGTTACCACTGTCTCCTTCAGCTGTTTGCTGCCATTTCGGCTGCTGTCCCTGTGGATCCCAAGCAGACAGTCTGGTGTTGAACTGTGTGATTTCTGTCACATGAAGTAACCTGCAGAGTGTCATTGTGTAGTCCCATCTCCCACAGAGGTGGCATAAACCTGATCAGTGTCCTGCAGAAATTAGTTGGATTGCTGATGGAACAACTGCCTCAAAGTTTGGAGGGTTTTCTTGATATCATAGTATTTTACCTTCATTCTGCTTTCACATTCGATTTGAGGCATTTAATGTGGTTTTATTAGAGGGGTAGAGCATGAAGGGGGAATTGCAACATGACAGTCATCACATTATTAGGAAACATCATGCTACAGCAGATTTAAACTAGTTAAGGGCCTCAATGTTCATTGCTTCTTTAATATAATTAAAACATATTTTGTCATTGCTTAAAATACACAATATTGTGCAGTCTACAGAACTAGTACACATTTGTACAATAACTGGTAGGTAGTCAGAATGCTGCTTCTATTTGCTTACATCTTAGAATAAATAAATATGGTATTCAATAATTTACATGTTATTCTCATTCCAGGCAACGAAGTTCATTTTTTGCATCTTGATAAAAACAGGCTGGATCATGTTCCCATTAATACAGTCTTGCAGCTGGCAGGAGTTAAAACAGTGAATTTCTCAAACAAACCCCAGATTATTGACATATGACACTGATGTAATATATAATTTTTTAAAAATTTGTGCTCTACAAGAACAGTTCTCCATTGAATTACAACAAGCATTGGTTCTGTTGCTTCTTTGTGTGACATTGGAAACCTTATCTAGAAAATCAGAGCATAGAATAAACTACCTGGCACTAGAGATGGATACAAATGTGCTATTTCCATTGAGTACAAGATAATAAAAACTAAAACACAACTGAGACTGCAAAAAATCCTGGAGCTTGTTATTGTCTCATCTGACAAACTTGCTATTGTTTTTTTAAACATCATTGTTTAAGGTGTACTAAAGTAAGAAATCAGATTTTGCTCAGGAAAAACTTGGGATTCTTGCCTTCAGCACATCAACACTGGCTTTCAATCCAAGACTTTTCAGCACTTTTTTAAAGCTTCCAGCACTGTATGACAATTTTATATTGAAATACACCTTGAAAAGTCACAATTTTGAATAGCTGGACTTCATTTGCATCTGGCAATGGCAGAAGTTATGAAACACATTTCATAAATTCAAATAAATATTTTAAATACATCATCATGTATTGTCTGCAGCTCTTTTGTGTGATACAAAATCATGGGTCTGTGTAAGACCAGAGAGAGGTGTGTCTTAAATTTGTATCTGATCAGATTATCAGTTTTGGCATAAGCCAAATTATTTGTGTTCCTATGAAGATTTGCAGCAGAATGTTCTTCCTTTGTATGTATATATTTTCTCTCAGAGCAAGAGGTCTCAGAATAAATTGTTCTTAGTTATTTCAGTCTTAGACAACTGAAGTAAGCATAACAGCATTCTTTCTGGTTTGCAGTTCTGGCAAATTTCATATTATTAATTTATCTGCAGATGTTTATGTTCAACTTCTATTGGTTTCATTAAAGTAGACATGCCCTCTTTCATCTAGGATACACCTCTTTTAGCAATTTGAAAAAAAAAAAATTGTCCAAGATTTATGGATGAGAGTATCCTTCTCTGCAGCCTTTGACCTTCACTGTAAAATGCTACAATACATACATGTCTCAACCGCAAATTTTCTCCCCTTTTAAGCTTTAATGCAATTGTGAAATGGCATTTTGTGAAGATGTTTGTTCCTGCATCCATTAAGGCCACTGGCAGGCCCAGAGCAAGGTCTGGAAAGCTTTACACTGTTAAGAGCATGTGAAATTAAGTGCACTGTTCCTTGATGAAAAATAAAAGGCTTGCTTAAGAAGCATAACAGTACCGAACAATGTAATTCTATTAAAGATACTATGCCTTAGCAACTTATTCATTACATCCCTATTTTGATATTATGTATTTAGAAGAAGGTTTTTATTAATGGAAAAATACAGTTGTCAGTTCTCTGCTAAACAGCACTCGGCACAGGGCTGAAGGTGTGCACTCTGAATCCCTGTGATTTCAGGGCTGGCCAGAGGCTTCCTCAAACTCGGCATAACTGACTGGGACAGGCAGCTCATGCCAGGAACTCTGGAATGCATCTGCCTCTCTGCCTTATGTTAGTTAAATAACAGCCAAAAGCAGGCTGGAAAACTGGTCATATGTTTGTAAAACAAAGACAATAAACAAAGAAAAATTATTTTCAAAGACAATGAATGATGAATGCACAGTTTATTTGTGGTGCTTCCACTCTGCTGCATTCATCTGATAATCACAGCTAAGGACACTGATTCTCGTTTCACTTTTATTTTGCAGTTGTTCTTGGTGCTTTTGATTTTCAAGGAAATGTTCTAGCTGCCTTCCTGATTCTTTTGCTTTTAGCAGAATTAAAACAATATACAATGGTAATAGTTCTCTTGGTCCTAATAAGCACATTTTTAAAAAATAACTACAGCTAAAATAACTATGGACTATTAAAAGATATTTGAATTATTTAAATTGTAGTTTTACAGCTCTTTAGGTTGAAGTCATCCACCCTCACTATTTCAATACTGACAGGAACCATACCACAACCTCTGTGCTATCCCAGCAAAAATCTCTTCCTCAGAAAGACTCACAAACTGCAGACAAACAAAAGGAGAGAGGAAGAAAGAGGAGGATTCAGCAGAAGCGCTGAGGTCTTCTAATCAGGGCAGTGGCCCTGCCTTTTGCATCTGGCCTCAACGAGACAATGACTCCCACATTCACAATGAATTGGAACAACGATGGCCACAGCCATGCTTGGGAGAATTTGTTTCCGAAGCGTCAGAAGAATTTTAGGTCTCTTGTGTTATTTAGAAAGGATATTTTTTAAAAAGTCATCCAGTGAAAAGTGGCAAGGGGTATGTTTCCAACAGGTTTTCCTCCACAAATATACACATTCAGCAGATGGTAGAATAGTTCCTCAGGGGATTTCATCATGGCCATTAGACGAAGGTGGGAAGGGAGTGGTTCTTAAGGTACTAGCTTGGTTTAGCGCTACGGCTACTTAAAATAACTGTGTGTTTTAAAATATCACTGTGTCTAAGGGGCAGATTCAAACACAGTTATTTAAACTTTTCGGCTAAGTCCATTTAACGATCAGACCAGAAACCCGCATGCACTGTTTGAAGTTGGCCTGACGAAGTACCAAGCCCTTGGGCTCCTCTTTCGCTGTGCGCCTCAGGAGGGGCACCTGGCGGGCTGCGGGGCCACAGGAGAAGGCGGATCGAGCGCGGAGTGCCCGGGGCGGCGGCAGCGGAGCCCCGGCGGCGGCAGCGGAGCCCCGGCGGCGGCAGCGGAGCCCCGGAGCCCCGGCGGCGGCAGCGGAGCCCCGGCGGGAGCAGCGGAGCCCCGGAGCCCCGGCGGCGGCAGCGGAGCCCCGGCGGGAGCAGCGGAGCCCCGGAGCCCCGGCGGCGGCAGCGGAGCCCCGGCGGCGGCAGCGGAGCCCCGGCGGGAGCAGCGGAGCCCCGGCGGGAGCAGCGGAGCCCCGGAGCCCCGGCGGCGGCAGCGGAGCCCCGGCGGCGGCAGCGGAGCAGCGCAGCCCCGGCCGCCCGGGCCGCGCTCCCACCCCGGGGCCGGCGGGCGCCACGTCAGCAGCGCGGGCCGGGCGCGCGCCCGGACGGGCGGCGCCCCGGGGCCGGCGCGGGGGGCGCGCGCCCCGGCCCACCTGTTACCGCGGCCGCCGCCGTGACGTCACACCCGCCCCCCCCCCCCCCCCCGCCGCCGCCGCCGCCGCTTCGCGCCGGTGACGCCACAGCGCGCGCCCCAGTCAACGGCAGGCGCTGGGGGCGCGGCGGGCGCTCCGCCATGGAGCGGAAGAGCTGGGCCCCGCTGAAGAGGACGCAGGGCGCGGCGCGGCGGGCGGCGGGGGGCGAGGCGGAGCGGCGGCGGCGGCAGCCGCCCCCTGCCGGTCCGGAGACCTGCCTGAAGATCGCGGGTGAGGGGGGTGTGCCGGGGGCGCGGGGGGCGGGGGTGTCCCGGTGTCCCGGGGTGTCCCGGTGTCCCGGTGTCCCGGTGTCCCGGTGTCCCGGTGTCCCGCCACGCTGTCCCGTCCCGCGGCTCCGGGTGGGCAGGAAAAGTTCCAGCGGCGCGGTTCCCGACGGGACCCCGCGTCGCTCGGCAGCCGCTGCCGCCCGGGCCGGGCTCTGGCGTGTCCTCAGCCAAGTGCTGTTGAGAGCTGCTCCGCTCCTCCGGCGGGATAACTCATCCTGCCGCTGTACCGGCAGCCCGAGCCGTGCCCAGCACCGACTGCCTCTTGCTGCTTCTTGCTGGCGTTTTCTGCCTGCCGGAGAGAGTGAACGGAAAACAACGTGTTTTAAACGTGTTTCTGTCCGTTCAGCACGTTGTGGGGTGGAAAAAAAAGTAGCATATTTCTCCATGTATTGGGGGGAATATGTATTTACACACACGCAAATATATCGATAGCTAATATATCTGTGTCTATATATATAGATATATGTATAGATAGGTATAGATACTTGATTTTCCTGATGCCGTGATATCGTGCTTGCTGGCTAATGAGTAAAATAATGGGCAAACGTCGCACCTCCCCTTGACATGCAAGTGCCAACAGCTTGCGCAGCCAGGATTGCTTAGTGTCGTCCCTCCTTTTCGTGACTCCAGGCTCCGAGCCGCGCTTTGTTTTGGCTCACGAGTCTGCCTCTTTTAAGAAGTCTGTTGGATCACAGCCAGAAAATGCTGTGTTAAGGTTTCAGCTCCGCAGCTAAAAGATGGCCCTGAGTTTAGTTTGCCTAAAGGCAAAAAACTACAACAAATATTACTTTTTAAGTCATATTGTCATAATCTCAGAATTTTAGTGTATTTACAAATTCCCATAAAAAGCAAGAAATACACCTCCCGGCACATTTGTGTGAAGGGCGTGGAAAATATCTGTGGACAGAGCAACCAAAAATATAAAGAGCAAACATGCAGAAAAGCCACCAATGTACCTTTTATTTCTGTATGAAAAGCATGGTTCCCTATATTAACTAGTGTGTCTTCTACATAACAGTATGTTTAGAAAACTGTAAGATTTTGTTTTGAAAATTTGGCATAGAAATGTGGAAAGAATATAAATTCCCAAATCTTACCAGAGGAAGCTTCCTTAAAAAGCTTCTTCTTTTTAAAAAGCTTTAATACTGTCAAGGAGTGAAATCCTAAATATTCTGGCCAAAAATTCAGCATTTTAGGCCTAATCTACACTGAGAAACATGATGGTGTACTTATCTACAGAACTCTAAGACTCCAATTGCTCCATATGTGTTTTGTTTCTATAGCAGCAACTGTTCATGTAGGACATTATGATAGTATGATTTTAAGGTCAGTTGTGGAAAACCCTCATGTAACAGATAATGACTTTTTACTGTCAAGGTGATTTTACTACCAGTATTACCATGCAGCCCTGTCCAGCTCACATCTCCAGCAAACAGATCAGTATAACCATTCTCATGAAACAGTTGCTTTGACCTGGTAATGTGTGTCTGGCATCAACAAGCCCGTTAAATTACTGTATTTTCTCCTTCAAGAAAGCGTTCATCCATTTAAATTCAGTAGAGCACCTGGTCTTTGACCTGTGTTTTTTCAGTGGGATTTCACCATGTGCAGCAGTACCTGGTATAGTAAATTTTATTAAAGTGCACTTTAATTAACTTTACTTTGATTAAAGTAAATTTGATTATTATATTTAACAATATTTAATTTTGTCTTGATCTTTCTGTGCACAGTGGCTGCTGTTTATTGTCCAATTTTTAGTTCTGATTCGAATGATAGTCTAATGTTTAGTTTTCTGAGTTTTTAGTTTTAAAGAGGAATCTTAAAGAATAACCCAACAGGCTTACCTTTTTGTTCAGGTGTTTTAAACTTCTGTCAAGTTTTGAAATGTCAGTTCTGCCTTCTCATGATTCAGTTTTGAGAAGTTGTTTAATAGTTGGGTACTGGAGACAAAGCATAAGGTCTTATTCCAAAAAATGGATGTACTGGTAAATATTTGAACCACTGTAAAGACTGAGAGGTCCGTGTTAGCTTATCTGCTTACCGAAACAGTGCCAAACTTATTAAGAACATTGCAGGCCACCCTTATTTTCATCTTTGCAAAAGACAGAAGCAGAACACAAACCGAAATTGCTGTAAAGGGATCTTGT